TCGAACCAGTCAAGCGGGTGATGCAGGTGTGAGGCGCGTGTCAAACACTGGTACCATATTTTACTTCTATAAATACACATACTTTATATGCTTCTATGCAAACTTTTTATATTTCGTCCTGAATAACCTTAATAAGCATTAAATTAACACATAAATGTATAACTTGTTTTGTAATACGTATGAAAAATGCATAAAAGAAATTGAATATCTAATTCTCATACACAAATTAATGTTCCTACACTGTTATGGAAAACTGAAAAAAAATTACAAAAATATCAAACATTCAACAAATTTAGTCAAACCAGAAACTTTCCCACGAATATCCATACCTATATATTATTGGAGTCTTGGAATCTTAAACCACTTACGTTGATAACTTAAACAGTAATTGAATTCCTATCGTCTGTTCGAAATATTATTTGTCCATAAATAACGAACTATAGAACTATAAACTTAAATGTTACATAATAAACATGTTCTTTATATTAAAACTACTCAAACTAAACATTTTTAAGTTCGTTCTACCGATGGATAGAACAAAAACTACAGTATAAAATATGAAATTTACCAATCTTTTTCTTAATTGATACTTATAGCTTTAACTAAAAGCTAGAGAATTCTTTCCTAATAATAATACATAAAAAAACTCAGCATTGATATTTAATTGTAACTTCATTCGAATTGCAAAGAAGATGCAACACAAATATCCAATTGTAATAAGTATGAAATGGTATAGATGAAAACTTGTCAGACAATCATAAAAGTATATCGTCAAGCTTTCATACATTGTCATTTAAATGTATGCACTGAACTCCAAGCTCATGTGTGTCGATAAGCAAACTTGTGATGTATTTGTGGGCCAATGACCAGTCACCTTCTTTGCAAACCATTCTCATTGCAATACGCTTAGAATACAAATAAGTTCGAATAGTGTTTGCTAATTACGAATCACCTTTGTCCCATACAGTCCTATAAACAAATGAAATAAAGAAATTACTTGTTTTATTTCATAGAACTTTGATTAATACGTACTATGTATATCTAAAGCAATGAAAGCATGTACTGTAGCTCATACAAATAAATAATGTAATTATTATCTTGCCTCGCGATAAGTTGACTTAAATTGCTACTCATTCTGACTAGTGTCATATTCTACTTAATTTAAATAGGTCAGTCATAGATCATGCAAAGTCCAGCACCGCTATGATTGTCACCCAGTTCAACTCTCTCCAAGCATCGAGGTCCAAAGAGTAATTACCAGCGACGGCCTTCTTTTAAGTAGGCCCCGTATAGGTATGTCACGTTAAATAATCATAATCTCTATGAATACTTAAACATGTTATTTTTTCCAAGCGCTATTTAACTAATACCACACCTTAGATTTTCGAGTGTACACATTTTAATGAAATTAAGTTTTTTCAAACTACATACGTGTTTTTTATTTTATATCTACGTACTCCCACGTTTCTAACACATTGTTGTGAAGGAACTTATACTTCGAAATTATGTAGTTATAAAATAATACAAGACTTAGTTTTTTTCACGAAGATACATTATATGTAGCATTGTTATTGAAATACAACTATAATAATGATATACAGATTTCTATTGAAGTTCATATTTAGTTCTTAATTATAAAACCAGAACAACTAACTGATGTATTTTCTCAACATCGAGCTATATAATTTTTCACAAGTTTTACTTGAATTCTGTTATATCTACATTATCGCCCAAGTACTGAATTAAACGATTTATTTTAATATAAATATCACAATAACTGACATCTAAGAACAATAACATTGTCATAAGAATCATGAATGAATCTTTTGGAATACATGTTTACAAAGTGTCAAATTTCACTAAACAGATCACGTCTTCCTATTTGGTTTCTATTCAAAGTTGGAGCCAATGACCGTTTCATTCAAAACATAAAAGGAATACTTGTGTTATCAAAATAAACTTTTAATCTCTCATAAGAACTCACGCCTCATAATTAAGAACACTTCCTAAGCGTGTTCATATCTCGTTATTAATAGTAGATAATAAATAATAAAGTACATTACATAAAAGAAATATATATTAAAAATAAAACATGATGTTTAATTATAAACTACAGGCTCACCTTGAACTTATCAGAAACCCCATAACGTAATCTTATCTCGAGTTGATTCAACAGTACCCTTCTATCTTTGCACAGTTTATTTAATATTGACTGTACCGACGGCTACGAAAGTAAACATTATTAACTACCAAAATGTATAAATATACCAATTTCGACCATAAGCTAGTGACATATTAAATTGATTTTCCAATGACAACAGATTAATGGATTTTATATATCGTAATTTATATAAGTTTTCTTAGCGCTCTATAAGTTATGTACAAAAATGGTACGAATTATCTGAAAGTGTAAAGAAGAGGTAAGTAGATCTCGTTTTAATACTATCAAGTACATTCTGCCAATATCGCAAGCATTAAAACCTATGAAAACTATATTTCAACAAATACATACGAAGTCATTGTAACATTTCGTTCTCAATTCAAAAATTAAAAAAAAAAATAGATCAAAATCCGCAGAATTAATTAAAAAAAAAACAATCTGATAGGAAATCAGCTCATAATTATCTACCGTAACTCGAATTGAGTTTCCATGTCCGTATTGTTTCCCACACAAATTGCCCGCCATTAAACGAAATGGCGACCGCCGCGGCAGAGATTCCTCCCAGTTTGTTTTATTATGTTGTTATTTGTCGTCTCAACGTCAGCTAGTACCTTTTTCTATTATTGTAACTGTAATGTAATAGCTTGCGAGTAAAAAACAACATTCCACATCCATTGTGATCATTTGTTACAATGCTGTAACCGATTGTCTGTATCGCGAATGCTTTCGGACTTACCGACCTCTCGAAGCTATGAAGAAATTACAAAGTAATCTAAGTAGGTATACCACATAAAACATTAACAGGGAAATTTGAGATTAATTACTTGACTTGCAAAGAAAATTAAGAATAACGTAAAAGAAGGTTTGACTTAAACTATTTCAAATTTAATTACCAAAGTTTTGAAGTAGAGTTATTAAAAAAATTAAAAAGAAAACACTGCTTACAAACAATCAAGTAATTCCTATAGCTATCGTATGTATATAAAATCTTATTAAGACATAACAAACTTCTCTAATTGTATAATATTAAGAAATAGGAAGAAGAAAGAAAAAAACGAGTCGATCATTTACAGTATCTAATCAGTATGAGACGAAACAAGTAACATTCTTGGCCGTGTAACAGTTATATAGAATGTTCATTGACAAGAATCAGGAAGGACGCCATTTGTAGACTTAAAATATCTTTGATTTTTTTACATATAACGAGTGTACTCTACACTGCTATCAAACGAAATATCAAAGTAGGACGAATGCTTTAAATTATATTATTTTAAGAGATAATATGAAGTATGGTGAAATATTGCGTAGATTTTGATAAAGATCTTTTAAAGATATCGTCACAATAAATAGGACCATGTCAAATTGTCAGTCCTTTTTGATAATGATTGTCGAAACATTAATAACGAATCACAATAGTACCTTAGATATATTGTTTTGTAGAAAACACATTCAGTTCAAAGGTTTTAAACGTAAATATAATATTTCACATTGACCGTGTAACTTTCTCAGTTGGTACATATGTTAAACGCAAATGTTTTTACGGTCGGCCACGTCGCGGTCATAGCGGTCACTCATAATTCTTTTTTAACAATGGGACCACAAGCATTGTTACAGTAAAAATATTGCAAGGATACAACTATGTGTTTTACTCGTGAAGTCTGACAATGATCGCAACTTGTGTACACGACTAAAGATATATAATAAGCCTGTGTTCCTGTTTTTTTAATATTAGTGAAACAAAATATGAAGCAAAATTTTTTTGCACAAAAGTATTAAAATAATTTCTCCACAACACAATAATGTACAATAAGTATATTGTTAATAGAAATGGGAATTAATTAATTGGCAGACCCTAGCTTAAGCTGGGTAAATTGCCAGGAAGAAGAAGAAATGGGAATTAATATTAAATTGATTGAGCCACAAAGTATGGCATTCACTAAATAAACATCAAAATTACTTAATATACCAATATGAAGCTATTAATTGTTTATATCAACCTTTTCTGACAATAAACTTTTATAACATGTTTAAGTAACATAATATCAAGTTAAAAAAACCAGAGAAACCAGTTGTAAAACACACAATGAAAGTAAAATTTAAATGGAAATGTTCCAACAAGTACAACTAATAATACCTTATACGAAAATAATAGGCGGAAAACAACTTCCAAAACTATACAATTAAAATTAAATCAAAATATTATGTGGTACATACATTTACATGGCTAAATAATCTCTAGTCTTCATACATAATGTTGTATATTCATGTAAGCACATAACGCATGCAAGAACATCGTTTTGTATCGACTTATCTGAACCAAATCTATCGAATTTGCATGTGAGCTAACAATCGCTCTCCATCTTTGTTGGTAATTAGAAACTTACTAGATGATAACGGTATTTGACCAACATATAAGCTGAGTGTACATTATTTTTTTCAATAGATCAACCCACAAACATGCATCGGAATATTAAGTAAAACATGGGTCTAATAGAACAACTAATAATTTCATTATGAAGCCATTTCTTTCATGTAAAATTGAAGTATTCTACTTGTATATCTCTATAATACTTGTTGTAACCTAAAATATGCTCGTTACTGCATCTATGACAACGTCTGACTGTATATGATTGATGCGACAGTAATTTCGCTCACACCGTTGTTTGTATCAGATACGATGACTATTGTAGATGATCGGTGACCACAAGGCGGCGAGCTCAGAGAACCGTTAAATATTTTCCTGTACAACTTACCCCAATATGAAATTCAGTCGTAATGCGAAAACATTTGTCATACTAAAACTATAAGTATTTCTTTAAACTGATGAAACTAAACTCACCATTGATATATGGAAGTGAGTGTAATATTCCGCATACACTTGCCGCAACGGATACTGAATTTTGGTCAAGAGAATCTTCGCCACATTCATTAGAATCAGTCTGTGCTGGTTCAAATAAAGCTAAATCCAGACCATCCATATCGCTTCGTGCTGACACACGGTCTTCTTCCACCACTCGATCACTGAAGTGTTCGGGGGAGTCGACATCTTTGGGGCTACGGCTGCAGACACCATCGCTCAGAGGATCACAACAACAAGTGTCTGAGAACGGTTCAAAGTCCCGGCAATCGAATTCACATCTTTCAAAACTGTCACAAGTACAAGAGGACAGAGCATCTGAATCCGATCCTTCAAGAGGAAACAAGTTATTGTCTTGCACGACTTTGTCAGACTCTGATTTCATAGATACATAAAAGATTCCAGAATTGTACGGCAATTTTTGTACTTGCACTCTTACGCTGCCATCTGTTTTGTCAGGATCTTTGATTGGTATCAGAGGATTATCCAACTGCGAGCGACAATCCTCATATCGAGCAAAGCTTGAAGTGTCCGTGAGGTTTGAAGAGCGGTCGACTGAAAATGCATCGCCGTACGGATCGCTCTCACTGTGTAATGGTGTTTGGTATGGAATGTTAGATCTTGTTCCAAGAAAAATGGTGGTGTAGGGACAAGTATGGTGGGGCCGGGTGCGATCTGTTCGACGAGGGTAGCTCGCCGCGAAGGGATCCCGGGGAGGACCTCCCTCGGCGTCCAAATACGCCTCGCTCGTTGACAGAACGTTGTATCGCCAGTCCGGCATCGCGATTTAACAACATCACTATTTTAATCACTATGATTGACGTTTCTTTTCATCACATGTAAGTATGAAAATAACACAATTTCACTTAGGTTGTTTAAACTGATTTGATTTCTTATTTTATATCGAATCATTCAAATGCTGTTTACTGTCTCATAATTTAAGTATAACTGTTTAATTCTCTTGTTATTTACTTATAACATCTAAATATAAAGAGCTATTATTATTACATCAAAATGAAATTTGTGGTAATAATTTGTTATTGATAACTTTTGGTGACGAATAAAAATCAGGTTTTTGTGGAAAGACGTACGGCAATCAACATTTTTTTCATTATTCCATGAGCGAATGAAGGGTCAATGGCTGGGAATCGTGCTTAGGAAACGCAATTATTTTGTAAGTACTCTGAAATTGTTATAGCGGCTTAATAATAACAGATGCGGGATCGTGACGGCTGAAGTACAATATATAAGAAATAATTCAAAAATGTTTATAATGCCGCCTACAAACACGAACAAAAAAATATCTCAGAGACGTGAGCTTTAAATCAAATAAATAAAAATATCACTACCTATTAACGTTAGTAATGTATTTTTTTATTTTATTATTTATATATTGTGTCACTGAAGTCTCTAAGGATTTTTTCGTTTTTGTTTACACGTCCGCAGCCCTGACAAATAAACAAAATTTACGAAGGTGCTAAAACTAATTTTACGGAGCGTATAACAAAGGTCTTTATACAAAAAACAGAGAACCAACGGTCAATGATCGAAAACGATGAACATACTTCGAATCGTTAACATTATTTGAATATCTGGTGCACCTCGAAAATCCGTTTCGACATCTAATAAGCGTGAAAAATGGAAGTGATAAATTTAAACCGTACCACAAATCGATTGATAGTAACACTTCCGTGGAAATACATGAAAACTTTTTTATTAACCGAAACAAAAGCGTATAATATATACTAAAACCGACGGTCAATTGTCACAGGTTAATGCAATTTGAATAATAATTTATGACCACTATGAGAAAGTATGAAGAGTAATGTTTTAAGAATTATGGAAATATTCCCGAGAGATGTAAGTCGAAAGTGCCTAGAGGCATTGTATGCTTGTATACTTATTACTTAGAGATCCAATGGACTATTGAGGATTATAAACCAGGTTCATAGCAGACAAACTAGAATGCTATACGAACTATTGTTATGTTTGGTGTTATTTTGAGTTGTCTTAGAGCTTTGTAAACAATCACGTTGAATGTTGTTTGCAGCATGTTAAACAAATATTTAATATATTCAATAAATCTCGTATTATATATTTCACAGAAAACAGGAAACCTCATTTGAATTCCAGCTAATTACGTACATACAGAGATAACTTAGACAATCCGATTAATGGAAAACGGCTGAATTGATAAAAAAAACTGGCACTGCTCAAAAAACTGGCAATGATAATACTGGCACTGGTCACAATTATGTCACTATAGCGAAGCGTGTAGAGGTGCGCTTGACGGGTCGCGCGGTAACCGACTAGCGACTTCGACGGACCGGCACAAACAACCAACCATGAGCCAACTACACACTACAGAGTAAAGAACACAGACTACACTGAGGGGCGACCGGGCTATGACTCGCATCTCACAGATGCAAACTAAAACACCGTTAAAACACGCAAATTTAAACAAATATGTTACAAGAGTATTTGATCAAAACTAACACACTCAAAAACCTGATTAGTCCAAGATAATATAAACATAACGCGTTACGCGAGCAAGAATTATTCACGGACGGCTGGTTAAGATATAATCTATAATGATCTTTTAAGTTTTAGTTTAAAGAAAACTCCATTAATAAGACAAACAGCTGTCAACGAAATATATTATTATAAAATAAAATGATATCACCGGGGTTAACAGCCCGGTCGAGTCGAGCGCTGACAAAACAGATGGTCCCTCATAAAAATTGTGATTGTTGATTTACAACTAGCTTCTAGGGGAGAAGGTTTTTTATCAGTTTATTATTGTCATAGGTTACCAAAGGGTCGCACACAATACCCCATGGCTAATCAAAACCCATCGCGTAGATTGTATTTACGACTATCGCCTTATCATTTAAACAAGGACCGGTTCGATTCTGTTGTATTTGCATTTCGCAGAGCTTCAACTAGTCGAGTCGCCCGTTTTGCTGCCCTTCGCTAGATTTTATTCTATCCCACATAAGCGATACATAAAATAGTTTTAAGCATACCTTCATTGAAGTTACATATTATTTAATTAAAACCGCGCTATTGATTTATATGAAGTTTTAAAGGAAACTTTTTCATCATTTTTGGTCGATAATAGTTTTGAAATTGACATAAAATAGACTTAATATATCCGTTGTAAGCTCTTAGAAACCCGCCAATTCCAGTCTCTTATTCTCACGGGAAGCTACTGCTTGTAAAACTGGCAACAACCACAGAAAAGTCAACATTGGAACCGAGGATATGTAAATAATAACCGGGTGTTTGTTTAGACCAGATAACATCCATAACACTTCATCTTCTCCTTTAATAGTGAACAGTTTGTAAGGAATACTCCTAATATAGACGCGAAAGTTATCAATGATGAATGGATAATGTCAAATTAATACGTAATGTCTGCTTAAAAAGTTTTCAAAAATTGTCAGTCATGCTATCTGTTGCATCATAATGTTTGTTTAGCCAACTCCTTGTGATATATTGGTTATACTTAAAGCTAATATCATAAAATATTTATTATATAATAATGTTATACTATTATTAATCATTAAAGACAGATTTTAATTTAATTAAAGTAATAAAGCGTGTCTTGACTGTGAGTCAAAATTGCATAGTATTTTGTCTCTGCAGCATGTGCATCGTTCAAGGTGACCAAGTTAAGCTCTTGTATAAATCTTTTACTTATATCCAGTATCCCTGGAATGGAAGTAATGTATAATTAAAGTTTTGCAATCATTAAATACAAATGCCTTCGACTTTACCAGAAGTAGTTTTTCAATACACCGGTATTTATACCTAACGAATTTTAAATTCAAATTAACTATGTCTAAATTTAACGAATTCTAATCGTTTTCTATATAAGCGTAATGTATAACACACCAATATTATTTATTGCAAATAATGTATGTATAAAATCGTCTTCTCACTCGAAAGAGGAAATATATATTTTGACCAAACAATTCGAAAAGGTATGCGAATAAAGTTCGCACCGATACAGTACGCGAAATACTTAATCACACATTTCAACTCTCAAACGATTATTTATGAAGCAATCTAAAATAATTTGAAACGAGATTATATCCGCGTAGGAGTTTGCATATTTTAAAACACAAACAAAGTTCTTTAACCCTATGATGATCTGGTAACAATGACTCCCACGCGGGAACCTTTGCCATAACTGTTATACTCTATAATTCAATCATAAGCCTCAGGATAGACGAAGTCTGTGTGTACTGTATATATTAATACTGAAATAGCGAATATGACTAATCTTTTATTACTTTAACGAACTGTTTACCGAACCAAACTTTGTTCATAACATGTAAATTTAATATCTTGAATGAGTTTGTGCAAAAAAGTTACTTCCCGTTTCGATAATTATCTATTTTTTAAATGCTATATTTGTAGTAGAGAAGTATACAATTTAAAAAATACAATAACTAAATGCCTAATAGGCACGTAAATATTTGAGAACAATAAAGAATGCCATTAAGGTTAAAAGAATGTTTCGTAAAGCACAATTGAAATTTTATTGCAGAGACACCTAGTGGTCAATAGAAGAACTAACTACTATGTCATATAAATTGAAATTGTTGTAGTAAGTCCAATGAACAACAGATGGCGCTTTAGTGAATTATAAGTTTTTTTTACGATAAATAATTAAGGAACAGTAATACTTAAAAGAACAAGTAATTTTAAAATAAAAGACAGACTTCAGATTCTTTTAAATATAGGGACGCAGAGATGTAACTAGATATATTCGAAAAGCAGAACAACATCACATCTTAAATAGGTTCAAATACGTGACTCATCCAAACAAACGAAGTGTAATAAATTTCCAGTGTCAGTTATGTTTAAATTGATTTAATTGTTCATTTCGTCACTCCTTCATCAGCTGCTGATTCATATCATTGTAAAGCATTGACCATGAATTATAGCAACTACAATCTCTTTAGACTCACATATAAGATCCGAACCACTACATACATTAAAAAAAATACAGGTATAAAATCGATATTTAAATTTCATATACCATATATAATGGTCAAAGGGTGCGCTTGATTTGTCAACTGTTAATGTATGCACAATTAGTATGCGCGATGATTTAGTATGAGATCACCGTTTTGGCGAAGGCCTACAGCGGACAGGACGCGGCCCGTCCTTCCTCACCCATCCGGTACATATATGTTACCAAAACACCGTTACTATTTGCACTTCGTGACTATATTTTTTTAGAACTAACGACACTTGTATTCCAGTTTAGAATATTAGTACGTTGAACCTGCGATTCCATTATACGCTGTATCTCTTATATTGATCGGTAGCAACTTCCAAATCTAATTTCGATATTTAAAAATATAAATAAAACATTTTATAAAAGAATAATAAACAAATAGTATATAAAAAGTTGTCCATAGATTAAATAAATTACTCTACCTTCGTATAATGTACAAATAGCTTGGATCTCAGGCCACCCACGATTTCTTTAAGTAATGTATTCATCATAGGCACATAACCCGTTATTTTGTCAAAGGTCAACCTAGACTATGTTATTATTAGAATAATATTATATAAAGATATTTATACTAATGTTATTTCAAGAATAATTTCAATATTTTTCACTAAACTTGCTTGAAATTTTAAGCAATGTAATAAGTTCTCACTATAAGAAAATCAGTTATTACAAGTCTACCAATATAAGGATGATAAATTATATGTTTTATTACTCCTAACTCACAAGTGTTTAGACAGAACAAATAAACT